TGTCTCCCGCGTCAGCGTTTTTGACTCGAGCCGCCCCCTCCCCCGCCTGGCTCCTGCCTGGCTCAGCCCTCGCTCCCGCCCGGGTGTCTTCCAAGGTGAGCCTGAGGCCGGTGGGTCCGTGGGCCCTTGGGCCCAGCAGAGGCCAGTTTGGCTCTGCAGGCACATGGCACCCAGGCTGCACCCTGGGCGGGACAGAAACTGAACTGGTTGGTGAGCTGGGGAGGGGCTATATGGTCTGTGTGGTCACCCTGCTCCTCACACACATGCCAGACAGGCCCCAGGAATATACAGAGACTCTAGGACTCTGCTTCCTGACCCACGTCTCCTCTGTGCTCCTGTCTCGTGGGCTACTTGCCAACCTGGGGCTGAGGCCTGGCTGGTGCCACCTGGAACGTGATTCACTTGCTCTTGCCTGTTTGGAGTGGCCGGCCAGAGTAAGCTCCCAGAGCAAGGGGGCTTCTCTTGTCAGGGCACAGGGTGGGGACACAAGGACACAGTGGTGGCCTGGTACCACTCCCCTCACAGAAGGTCACTTTCTCCTCACATTTTCCCTGAAAGGTAACAAGGGGGCAGAGCACAGCCCAGTGAGCAGAAGGGACTTGCCCAAGGTTCCGCAGGAGTCAGAAGTGCAGAGGGAAGAGGTTCCCAGCCTGGGACCCCCAGACACATAGGCAGGCAGGAAGGCCCCACTCCAGGGTCCCAAGAGTACCTGAAGAAGGCCTAGCTGTCCTTCCCTCATGTCCTGGACAACCTAGAACCAGCCTTTCTCTGCCTGGCCTCTTAGGGGTTCAATGTCCAGTAGATTCTGGACCATTCAAAGACCCAGGACTCCTTGTCTTTCCCTCAGAAGTGGCTCCAGGAGTTCCTTCCTTTTGGAGGTGAAGCCTGGAAGCTTGTCTGAAAATGTCCTTCAGTCAATAGGGTGTTGGGGGAGCAAGTATCAAGGCTCAGCCTTTGACCACGATCAAAGTTCGGTCTTTGTCCATGGTCAGGGCTCAATGTATGGCTCAGGGTCAGAGTTCACTTTGTGACCAAAATAAGGGCTTATTATGTATCCAGTATAAAGTCTCAGTCCGTGTCCAGTTCAGGGTTCAGTCTTGGATAAAGGCCAGGGCTCTGGACTGAGCCAGGACTCAGTCTAAGATCAGGGTCGGAGCTCAGTGTATGGCTCAAGCAGGATCATGGCTCAGAGAGTGACTAGAATCAAGCTCAGGCCGGGATTTAGTCTGGGTCTGGGAGGGGGTAAAGTCTGTGACCTGACTCAGGACTTACCTGTGACCTTGACAAAGGCTAAGACTATGTTTAGGGTCACGGCCCCGTCTGTGATAACATCAGGTTCCAGGGCTGGAGGTATCATTTAGTAAATTTGGGTGACTTAATCTTCCCTATCCCATCCACAAACATACCCAACTCCCAGCTTCTCTTGTCCTGCAGGGCCTTGAACCTCAGACAAGGAAAAGGCCAGGTTGTGCAGGCTGCCTTGGCTGATTGGTCTCTATCCCTTGTCACATACCCAGGCTGCCCTCTAGTGGCACTTCCTATCAGTGCTGATTTCCTCGGGCTTGGCTCACCTCTCTCTGGCCATAGCCTACTTTTGGGAGCCTGGCTCTCAGGCACACTGATCAATGCCCATCTAGCCAGCTCTACATTCCCGAGTCCACCACCCTCCTCACAAAGAAGTAGAAAGCAGGAATTGGCCAGAGGAACTCCCACACGCAAAGGAGCTGTTCTCCTTTCCTGACCAGAACTGGGTATCTTAATAATTTTCTGTCACAGGGGAACTAGAGCTTCAATTGTGGGATAAGCTTCACTTCTTTCACTCATTCAACAAACATCTATTGAACACCTACCTTGTGTCAGGTAGGCACTGAGTGCATAGCAGTGAAAAGAAAGAAGTCCCAACGTCATGGAGCTCATGTTCTGTTCACTTCTCCCCAGTCCCCAAACGCTAGCCTGCAGTCTCTTCAGCAAGGCAAGAGCCCCAGCAGGAGCGGGGGTGAGATGCAGAGCTGGGCGGCTTGGGGTGCCTTCTCTCTCGTAGGCTCAGTGGCTAGGTTAGTCTAGATTCTGGCTTCTGTCTTCATCTCTCCCCATGTGCCTTATCCGGACTCATGGCTTAGCCACCACCCCAATGCCAATGGCTTCTAAATCTGCATCCTCTTTTCTCTCTTTCTAGAATTCAGGGTGGGGCTCCAGCTCCTCTGGGAAGTTCCACTGGGCTAACAGACCTTTTATCTTACAACAGCCCTTCCTTTTCTTTCACTAGATGCCCAGCTGCTCAAACCAAAATTCTAGAATTTCCTCTTAGATTCTTCTCTTTCACTTCCCTTAAACTCCCCCAACAGGGGGACCTCAAAGAATGGGTGTAGAACCTCCCACTGCACAGCCACCTCTCCAGTCCCAGCCCCTAGCATGTCTCACTGCAATAACCTACTCACCCACCCTGTTTTCGTCTTGCCCCTCAACACTCTGTTTTCCACACAGTGGGCAGAGCGGTCTTTACAATTAAAAATCAGATCATGTCACACCCCTGCTTAAAACCCTTCCATGGCTCCCATCTTGCCAAGAATAAAGTCCCAACTCCTCACCCTGGCTTACTCAGCTTTCCCACCCGCACCAACTCCATCTCCTACCCTTGTCTCCATAGCTCTTTTTTCTTGGCCTGACTCATGGATGTTGAGTTTATTCTCACTTTGGGGCTTTTGCACGGGCTGTGCTGCCCTCGAGGGGCCTGAAAGAGTGTGAGGGGAGGAGTCCCCTGGTGGGACAGGCCTGGAGAGATTGGGGTGGGTGTTGCTAGGGTGGCTGATGGGCAAGTGGGCCCTGGGGTATAGAGAATGTCTCCTGGTGTCCTTATGAAGAAGGAGGGAGTACAGATGTGACAAATAACCTTCAGCTGGGGATGGCGGTGGAAAGGAGACTCCAGGGAGCAAATATATCTCCTCCCCCCGCAACCCAGTCCCATTCTATTCACTCACCCCATCTCTTTGTGGCCCACTGCCTTGAGCTCTTATTGCCTGTTTACTCTTCCTCCTCAGCAGTCCAGACAGGATCTGGAGGTCTTCTTGTGGGGGAAGGGGAGGAAGATGGTGTGCAATTCCCGGCCCTTGCCAGCAGGTGGGAGAGAGGTTCAGGCTGGGCCTAGCATTCCAGGGCTAAAACCTGGGGGGTCTCTTCCTAAGAAGGTATGGGATGGGTGAGCTGGATCACACCCCAAGGCAGCATCAACCATGGCCCCTCTCACCTCCTACTCTCCCAAGGCAGTAGGTGGTGCCTGAGGCTGCAGACCGGTGAACCAGAAGAGACAGGACTAGAGCCCGGAGCAGCGGACTCCCTTACACACACATGCATGCGCGCACGCACACACACACACAGTGCGGGTGGGGGAGTTCTCTGAGAAGAGGTCATCAGCTCCAGGGGCTGGAGGCTTCAAAGGTTAGGGCCCATCGACCCATGTGAATTAATAGAGATGACCTGCTCAGCACCTACTGAGACAGATTCATCCTTCTCCAGGCCAATGAGAGGGGGTGACAGCAGGAGAAGCAGAGGCAGAGGGGGATCAAAGGAAGGAAGGCAGAGCCACAGGGCTGAGGGGAAGAGCCTGGGCCCAAGCACAAGAGCTGCAAAGCCTACTCTGGAAAGAGAGAGGGAGGCTGGTGAAGCCAAGGGTGGATGGGCAGGCAGTCATGGTCAACAAGGGGTGGTGGCCCAGTGTGTGCCACCCTCACTGGGCACCGCTGGCCCTGGTTCCTGCAATGAGAGGAGGGGCTGGCCCAGGGTTGCAGCATCTTCACCCTAGTCCCCAGCTCCTTCGTTTCTTCTTGCAAGGCAGCCTCCATTCCTCTACCAGATGCCCTCACCCACCTGGACGGAACACAGGCTAAGCCCAGACTCTGCAAGTCCAGCCAGACCAGGAGGAAGGTTTGGGATTTGCATGGCTCTGGGGAGCCCTTCTTTCCTCACCATCCCTGCTGGGTGATCCAGCCCTTAACCACCGCCACCAGACACATACACGCTCCCACATGCCTGTGTGATGTTACTGTTACTCACAGTCCCTATCTCATACACGTAGCCAGCCGCTCTCACCCACAGACACTCACATATTCATCCAGCCCCCCAGACTCAGTCTTCTGTTCACAGTCACTCACTCCTCTCCCCTGGCGTCCCCTTCTAGGTCTCCAAGAGGATGAGAGGACCCCAGAATCCAGGGCCCTGCGATCAGGCCTTCCCTTCAGGGCTGCACAGTGCAGAGGACTTGACTCCAAAGGTGCTTTATTGACGATTGAGGCCCGGAGGGAATGCCCAGTAAGGGGCCCTCACCGCTCACCCCTGCTGGGGCCCCAGCCTCAGCTCCCCTGCTGTATCTACTCAGGCAGAAGGGGTGGCGTATGATCAACCCAGCTGTACCTTAGGGACTGTCCGGCCTCAAATCAGAATCCTCGGCTCGCCACTCCGACTCCTTGCCCAACTAATCCCAGAAGGTATGGGGGTGGAGACGAGGAGGGCAAGGAGGAGCATAAGGGGGAGCTGGTGACCTTTCACAGTGTGCAAGGACAGCAGACAGCCTGGGCTGCCCTTCTCCCCTTCTCCCACTTCATCCTACCCCTGGGGGTGTGGGCCTTGCTGGTAGTCGGTTCCTCTCAGGGTGGCTTCGGTCACAGTGCCCAGATGCCGTGGGTGGTGGTGGTGTTAGGGACTCAAGGTCCAGGGGCCCAGTTTCATCAGGTCTGGGGAGTGAAGTAAGGTATGGCCCTGAGACCCCACCTGGAGGGCCAAGGCGCTGCCCCTGTCCCCGGCGGTAGGGACGTGCCTGGACACATTCTCCCCTCCAGAAGTTCCAGAGATGAGACAGGCGAGGCCATTTGTGCCCAGCACCCGACCTTTACGAAAATTTCCTTTTTCTTGTCTTCTCTTTCTCCTCCTCCTCCTCCTTCTCTTTTTCTTACACGGCACTAAACGGAAGGACCCCTGGCCCGGGGAGTCCGGGAGGGTCCGCACCGCTAGGGGGCAGCGCGCTCCCGGGGCAGGTTGAGCCGGACCCCGTCGGTGTGCGGCGCGTAGGCCGCACCCGGCGCGGGGGCGTCCAGGGCAAAGGGGCCCGGGCCTGGGCTGGAGCGGCCGGAGGACGCGGCTGAGGCGGCGGGGCTGAGCTGCACAGCCGTGGTGTCTTGCGCCGTGCGCTCGCTGCTCTCCATCTCCAGCGCCACCGGCCCGGTGCCGCCGCGGCCAAGGCCCGGGCCCTTGGAGTCTGCCCAGCGCGGGCGGGATGCGGGGACCCGGCGGCTACACGCGCAGCAGGCCGCGAAGAAGCCGAACGCCACCACCAGCAGCGCCGGCCCCACGACCAGCGGCACGTTGTGCCCGGGCAGGAAGGAGGCGAAGGTGCCCACCAGTGTCACGTTCACGCCCGCCAGCAGCACGCACAAACCGCAGGCGCAGCATAGCGCCGGCGATGGCAGGCCAGGCAGCCAGCCCTGGGCGCGGACCACGGGCGCCCGTGGAGCGGGTCCCTGGCTCTTCCCTTTGGGTGGCATCGGTCTGGGGACGCAGGGCATTTATCAGGGTCCTTCCTGCCAGCAGTCCGGACCGGATCCCATGTCAGCGGCCGAGCTCCCAGTGGTCCTGTGAGCACAAAGCGAGAGGGAGGGGTCAGCAGGGTGTCTCAGCTTCCGACCCCACTGTCATTTCTGGGGCTACATTCGGTGCCTGGGGGTGCAGAGGTCATCTTGGGCCGGCCCCCTGCCTCTGCCTCTGGGAAGCAACAACCCACCCCTATGGGGAGAGTCTGCCTATTCCTCCCCTACCCAGTCCCTGGGTCTCTCTGGCTACTCCTGCCATCCTCCCTCCCTCCCGCCCTCCTCCCAACAGGAAGCCTTCTTGGACTAATTAAATTGAGCGAATGGCTTTCAAGTGCTGAAATGATACTCATTATCAGTAGTCCTAATTAGAGGGCAGGTGGCCCATCTAGGGGCTACTCTGGCCCTCCCCCCAGTGACAGAGGGCCTTATAAATCATCTGGTATAGACCCTCCTTATCCAGAGAAAAAGGTCTAGGAATTACCTAAGATCCAGGGCCAGACCTGAGAACCTGCTTCCTGGCCTGCATGTCCCCATCTTAGGCTCTGGTAGGCATAGCAGTGACATTAACTTTCCTGAACAATCAGATGAGGTCCTGGAGTGAGTGACTGAGCGAGAGTGAGGAGTTCCTAATGTTTCAGATGGCCAGGGAGAAGGGACAGTCCCTACAGAGGCTGGGTTTGGCTGGAGCAGACTCAAGGCCCCAGGTTCTTTCTAGACTGGGAATTCCATCAGATTCCAATCCTACGCACTGCACCCCCACCCCACCCCCCATAGGATTCTAATGTTGAATCCGGACTCACAAACCTGATCACTGGATACTAGAATTCCTTTCTAGGATTCTCTGGTTGTATCTGGGATCTATCACTGGACTCTAGAATTCTGGGAATGCATGCAGAAGCAAGGGTAAGGTAATCAGAATCTAGGAATTGAGAATTCTGTTCTATAACATGAAATCACAGGTATGAAGGCCCTCAAGGATGAGGTCATAACTATGGAGCTGTTAGAATTGTGAAAAAATACCAAGAAAGGGCCCTGAGTGAGGATGAGAGGTGCATAATCAGATGGTACCCACAGGTGGGAGCAGAGCATGCAAGATAAATAATGGAGCATGACCTGGACAAATGGCCTAACTGTCCTTGCTTCAGTGTTAACATCTGTCATGTGGGGCTAATAAGAGAATCTGCCTCACAGGGTGTAATAATAATTAAATGCTTTAAGTTAAATCAAGTGCTTAGCGCAGAGCCTGGGACACAGTGAGAACTCAATAAATGTTAGCCATGTTGTCGTTGCAGTAGTTGATAGAGAAGGAGGCTACGGGGTCTCAGATCTGGGAGGTCCACTTGGACTAGTTTGCAAACAGAGCAGCTGGTCTGTCCCTCAGGTGGAAGTGCCCCAGGAACAGGCCCTGAGTTGTCCTTGTGGTTGTCCACAGCCTGCATGCAGTGGGGTTGCAGAGAATTTAATGACTTGTGAGTGAAAATGAGGGCAGGTGCCAGGAAGGGGCAGCTCAGGTTCTCACTCTGGACACAGGTTTGAATTAGCCCAAGCAGGCGAGAGAGTCTGGGGAGGGGCACCTCCACATCTGCCCAGATGGATGACTCCAGGGCTCCAGTCCCTGGCTGCACAGTGGGAGGTGGCAATTCTACCAGGGACTCCAGCCAGAAGCACCTGGCTGTCACACCAAGCTGGCAGGAATTCAGAAATTCCCAAATCCTGGCGAAGAAAGCATGTGTTGACCGTGAGGGCGTTTACAGACGACAGATTCCTCAGGAAGTTCCACGTTTGCATGAATCATCTGCTCTCTTTAACCTGTAGCTGTTGGTCTGCCAGGCAGCAATAGTAACTGCTAAAGGGGCGCAGCAATTTCCAGTTTGCAAAGCACTTCACGTTCATGATGACATCACTGAATGGTACAACTGCTTGATACTTATTAGCAGGCACATTTTACAACCGAGGAAATGGAGGCTCAGAGAGGGAAGGGGAGCTGGGCCCCCATGACTGGACTAAAAGACAAGCCATTCTGAGACCAGAGCCACAGGACACATAATCTGGCTCACACTGTGTGCCATCTTGCTTCATCTTAAAGAGAAGGATTTGACCCCCTTGCGGTTGATGTGGATATAAATCCCAACACCTTCCTGTTGCCATCAGGAGGGGCTGTGAGATTCCCAAATTCCCATCCCTCCCTTTCAAGTTCCGCCCCCTGTTAAGAGCATCCAACATCGTCTGACAAAGGCAGGCCTTCCCTCCTGTGGAGAAGGCTCAGTCTGAGGCTGACGGGGGCAGCCCCTGGTGGAAGGGATGGAGTCTGGCCCTTCGCCTCACCTCACAACGCACTCCTGAAAGCTGACACCAGACAAGGGAGGGGGAGGCCCTAGGTGGCTGGAGGGGCCAAGGCTCTCCTTTCTTTGAGTTTCGGCAGTTTAACTATGATGTGCTGACATGAGCCTTTTCTTTCTAGTTATCCTTTTTAGGTTTCCTGATGCTTCTACAATCTTTGGCTTGATTCCCCCCACCACTCCAGTTTTGGAATATTTTCAGCCCTTATCTTTTTCCCAGTTCCTCCCTCCTGTCCTTCTGAGACCCTAACTGTGCACATGTTCAACTATTTGATATTGTCCCATGTGTCTCTCACACTCTATTCTCTATTTTCTAGCCTTTTTATCCTCTCTCTGTTTCTGTCTGGTTATTTTTCTACTAATCTATCATATGGTTCACTAATCCTCTCTTTACTTGTGTCTTCTTTGCTGTAAAATTCATTTATTCCGTTCTTAATTTCAGTTGTTAACTTTTCAGTTCTAGGATTGCCACTTGATTATTTTTCAATGATTCCAGTTTTTTTGTTGACAGACTCTCTCTTCTCATCCATTTTCTTCAATGTAGTAAACTCTTTCAAGTCCATGTCTGAAAACTCTAATATCTGAATCTCTTGTTTCTATTGCTTGTTTTATTGCTCTTGGTTTTTGCTTATTTAGTCTTATCTCTTGGAATACAAGATGATTTTTTATTAAATGTCCAGCATTGTAGGATAGCATGAGATTCTGGATGAAGTAACCTTTCTCAAACGAAGATTTACCTTTGCTGCTGACAGGCAGCTAAAGAAGAGACAGGCCACCTTAACCCAGCCTGGGAGCTGTGCTTCAGTCTTTCTGAGTCTGGTTTATGTGTGGTTAACAAGTACTCTCAGGCGATAGCCCTTTGGGTTCCCCAACTAAAAGCTGAGGTTTTTTGTTTTGTTTTGTTTTGTTTTTAAACAAGGCCTCTCTTCTTTTTAAGCCCTAAATTTTGATTTGAACTTTCCAAACTCCATGGCTACTGCCCCCTACAAACTGCATAGTGCCTTAAGGGAAAAAAATGAAACCAAATATTATTTCTTTTCTCTCCAAGATTTTGGCCCCTAGAGTTCTTACTGCCTTGGTAGCTCTTCCATGTCCTAAAACAGAGTTCTTAAATGTTTAATCCACATTTTTAGTTAGCCTCAGTGAGTGAGTTGGTCTGATACCAGCTGGTCTATCTCAGACAGAAGCAAGTCTCAGTGAAAACCTGAAATTAGCACTTTCCGATTGCTAATTTAACAGTGCTATGCTGAGCACCTTCAATAACATGAAATCAAGTATTACTGTTATATCCCCATTTAATAGATGAGGTATTGAGGCACAGAAAGAGTAAACTCACCCAAGACCACTGAGTAGCAGGGGTGGTGCCAGAACTTGAAACCTGGTGTCCTGATCCCGAAGCCTGGGCTCTCACCTTAGCACCCACTAAGTTTGCTAAACGCCTGTTGACTGAGCTTCAAGTGACAGCTAGAATCTAGAAAAAGCTGGGAGCATAGACTCTTCTCAGGGCGCTGCAGATAAGCTTCTGTAATTAGCACTTACATTGCTCAACTGTCAACAGCACAGGAGGCGGCAAGGTGTGTTTTGTGTGTCTTTCCAGAAGGTAAACTCCTTGGCTTAGCCCACGAAGTTGAGCAAAAGGAAAGCCTGCCCAGGGGCTGAGCTGCCAAGTGCTAATTGCCAATGAATGATTCTTATCTGGTCCTGGTTGACAGAGCTGCCTCTGGAAGACAAAACTACTTCCAGGCAGAGAAAGGACTAAGGGCCCTTTCTGCCCCTACCCTGGTTAATTGGGATCTGGGGCGCACAGGGACGAGGTGTTAAGGTCACTCAGCTATTGCAATTCAATTTGTGCTGCCAGTGCGTCTACATGGCCCTGCAGTTGGGGCTGTTGCAGTACTGGATGCTCTTTCACTGTGGGTGCTCTGGTGAGCTCTGTTGTACCACTGGTGCTGTTCACTAAATCTTTCTGGTTCTCCCCTCTTCTGAATACATGTTGAGACTGAACTTCTTGAATACTTTGTGATGAGGCGGGGCCGTGTGACTAGTTCAGGCCAATGAATTGTGACTTGTGTGTCACTTCTAGGCTCGAGTGTTTACTTTTGGAAGCAGGGCCCTCCCCATTGGTGCAGTTGCTATCCCAGATCCTTCAAGCTCTTTCTACTTCATCCCAAGCCCAGCCCTCAGTGGCATTGCTTGAGCAGCAGGGAAGGTCTTTGCTCTGAATCTAGAGCTTTTAGGATTGGAACAGACCGTCTCTTCAGTGAGCACCTCCAAGCTGCTGAGGCTTGAGAGATCACCTAGTTCGATCCTTTCCCCTACAGATGGGGGAAACTGAGGCTTGGAGTGGGAAAAGCCATGGAAGGAGTCTGTGGCCAAGCCAGACCAGACTCTGATCAAGGGCTCTGGCCACTGCTGCTAAGCTGCCCCAACCCTGACAAACAGTTGTCCTCCCTGGCAAGGGAGGGAAGCCTCGTAGCCTCTGTTTGGGAGTCCATGCCAGAAGCAGTTTAGGGCAGGGGCAGACACTCAAGGCTGGGCCTCAGATGACCAGGGCTCTTGATTTTGGTCTGTGGGCAACTTGGGAGGACTGGGGCTCCTTTCTGGGCCTCAGCTGTCTGGATG